CGCGTGTGGGACGGGGGTTACTGGTTTGTTTTGTTGTTGTTTTTCAGTCAGGGCAGGCTGTTGCGCTCTTAAGAATAAAACGATGTGAACAACGCTGGTTGATAAACGTGAAAGGAGAACATAACCCTGGTGGATGCTGCAAAGCCGTTCGCTGTAAGTACAAACCTGTCCGTTTCGAAAACTGCATGGATTTGACAACAGCTGCCCCTTCTTGTAAAACGGTGAGAGAAGCCCCCCGCCTTTTTTGGGTTTTTTTTTTTTTTGCCCGGCTGAGCTTTATAAGGAAGGCACCCGCATGAATGCCCTATGTTGCAAAAACAAGTTTTCCAAGGAACTAAGTGATCCCCCACCATGGGATCATATGCACGTTTCTTTCCCCCATCCCTGTTAATACCTAATATACGTCACAAATTTTTTTTTGCAGTAAATTTTGGCAGAGCTTCCTGACTCTTTATGTAGACGTCTTTCAAGTCAGATGTTCTGTGCTTCTAAAGTATTTATTGTGTTAAATTTGCTTGATATGACTGTTTAGTTTTCTCAAGTGTTCGCGGGTCACTGAAAATAAATAACCCAGTGATGAGTGATTTAAAAAAGGATCCTTGAATTGATGAAAGACAATTCAAAAGGAAAGAAAATAAATTTGGAGGAAGGATGTGTGGCAGAAATTTTGACAGCTCATTCTGAAGGAGGAAATCCTGGCAAAATTGCTAAGCATTAAAGGAGGACTTTATCAAAATGACAACAAAACAACTACCTGACAAGATTAGAGGACCTTTGGTATTTCTGGAAACTAAATGCTTACAATTAACTAGCATTAATGCACCACCATATTTATATGACGCTTCTGAATTTCATCATTCATGAAAAGCATAAGTTTTGTTTTTGACTTATTTTATAAATGCCACCAGATGCTTAAAACACCCAAACCATAATCATGTTAAATTAGCCTTAGATAACAAATTTAAGTGCACTTTACAAGGAAAATGATAAAATCTGAATTCAGAGTTTGACTACTATTTAAACCAATTATCCAGTTAAATGTATTTTTTTGCAAAAGGAAAATTGAACTGACAAATTTTAAGAATAGTTTTCTAGAAATTAGAATATTTTATTTGCATTTGTATTTTTTCTTTAAAGCATAGTCACTATAATACGCATTTTAACATTGCTCAGTTTTTCCCACTTTTCTCAAGGGGATTATAGTTTATGTTAATCCATGTCACAATGTTTGTTTAAAACAAAATATGTATTAATTGAATCCTGGCATTACATGGGTTGTAGTATTCCCTTTAAATGACCTATCCTTTGCTTTTAGAAGCTGAAATCCCTGCAAAGTGACAGATTTAGAAAACAAGCCATTGTTTCTCTTTTCATAAACACAGCAGGGATGCACATGAATCCAAATGGCAGAGAAAAAAATGAAAGAGTGGCTTGTTGTTGATTTTTTGAAATTATTCATAGAATTAAGAAAGATCCCTGACTCAAGAACAGGGATCCTATGTAAATTTATCAGAAGAAAGGTCCATTCTATATAAAGCAAGAGATTTAACTTCCATGTCTGTTTCAGAAGCACTAGACTTCTGTTTTGTATTTGAGTCATATGTCAATATATTTCATTAGTAATGCCAATATGCTGTTGGGTGAAGATTCAATACTAGTTAAATCTAGTTTTAGTAATTCATGCAATTTTGATATATACATTATAAAGTAATTTTTAAATAATTCCATGTTTGAAAATGGCAAAATTTGTGACTATTGTATTTCAATTTTTTAAAAAGAATTTTTCTTTTGAAAAAAGTTAGTAACTAAAGAACCGTTTTGGGGTTTAGATTATAACTGGATAATATAAGTTATTAATTCACATGTGAGCTATATAGTATTTTTACTTCAAAGAAATTCCTTTTGGTTAGAAGAAATGTTTTAAATTATAAACATTTTATAAGAATTGCTTCTAGCAATTTTTTAAAAGTCTGGAAAACCAATCATTTAGACAAGTACCTTCATTTTACTTGCTCTGTGCTGCTGAGATTTAGAAACCCTTCCCATTTACAGTTTACTTTTCATGGAACATTATTAAGTTTCTGGCTTCATACATGATTTTCTGTCAGATGCTTTTGATTTGTAATTTACCAAAGTATAATAAACAGTGCAAAAGTCATGAATTTTCTCCTGCATCCTGAGCTCTGTGGTAGGGAAAATGTGATAAAATGTGTACCTTAAGTTCTGTTTGATGAACTCTTAAAGCAAGTTTGCCTTCTGGAAATAATTTCTGGGGTTGAAGAGCATGGTATTAACAGATTTAATGTGGCTATTCATTGGATTGTTGGAGTACTATGTGAGGTTTAACAAAATGAGAGAGACAAATTGAATATCAACAAAACCTACATCTGTGAAGAATTATGAAGTTAATTAGAAAAAAAGACCAACTGAGAAGATTTTATAAGCTGGTCACAATTTGGTGTTATTTGTGAAGATACTTAACAGTGCACTTCTATGCATGCCTTCTCACAAGTAAGCCTTACTGAGCTGAATGAGATTATTATCACCATCCTAAATGTCATTGTAATGTTACCAAATAACTACTAAAATTCCATCATGTTTCTTTTTATGCAGTATTACAAAGCAGTTTCGCATTTTATTAACTTATATTCACTTGTTAAATAATGATCATGTAGTGATTTCCTATATGACAAAGAAGTCCCAATATTTGCCATTTCAAAACTTAGTAGTCTGATTTCGTGACATGGTTTTTGCATATTGTAGCAATCCTATCTTCCATTTTTAGTGCATTCATTCTTCAGTCAGTTCTAATTATTTTCCAAGCCTCTGCCATATGAAATGATTTGAGTGGTAAAACTATGATTTTGAACACCTTATACCTTTTGAGTAAAGTTTTAAACTACAGTAGATGCATATTAATTAAAGTACTAATAAGTACCATTCATACATGCGTTATTTTCTGTAAACTGGCTATCATAGTGCAATTACTCACTACAGTGTAATTTTGCATCCCCCATAACTCCCAAAAGCATATGAAGTGTAGTATTTTGTAAATTGTAACTAATGTCACCAACATCTGTGTCTAATTGTTGCCTGCATTTGCATTCTTGAGAGTAGATTTATTTTTCCTGTACCACTATGTGGATTCATTTGACCAATCTAAGCAAAGATTAGTAGTTTTAAAGTTATTTTGATTAAAGAATTATTTTTAAATAGTATAATGCATAACACATGGTTTAAATAATCCTTAATAGGCAAAGGATTATAGCAGAAGTATGACTAATAAAAATGAAGGTCTTGCAGATGAACTCTCACAGCTTATATAATATTAAAAAGATATGCAAATATTTGTATTATATATGGTATCATATGTAAATATTAATTCTAGCTTACAAAAGATGCAGATATTATTTTATTATTAATTGTACATAATTAACAAATTGCATTCTCTAAATTAAATATTACAATAAAAATAATATAAAACATAACTATATATTATGTAATTAATTTAAACTACTAAAATGTCCATATTCTTAAGAACAGATAGTTTTAAGTATGCTTCTTTCCCACCTATAATTTCTTCAAAGTGTACACAAGAAGCGTGAGGGAACATATCCTAAAGGCATTGCAGTGCAGTTTTGGGTATAAGAGTGAAAAGTTTCCATTTTATACTTAGGTCTTCAAAAAAAAAAATCTTGAAAGAAATCTTGAAAGAATATGCCCTAGCTGTTGCAAACACATATTTGATAGTTTGAGTTAGCTTTTTATGGTCTATTAAAAAAATACACTATGCAGCATTTTAAAACAGCACAAGAGAAATATTGCAGTGTTTCTGTCTCTGTTATAGCATGCTTTTTGCCCTTATGGGTAACATTATATGTTGTCTGGCTGCTTATAGGAGTGGTGTGTGCTTTCTAAAGTAGTAATTCTGTCTGAGATTAAAAATAACAAAAACTACAGACAAATAAGTGAGATTTGCTTAGATGACTTTTATGGCACTTAAAATGCCTCATCTCTCTTGTCTTTGTTCTGTGATCATCTAGGAGATGTCAGTTCAGGTTGGGTGGAATTGTGAATTCAGACTTTGAGATAATGTATGTCATAGGTAGAGAAGTATTGTCTGTGCTTTCAAGCTAGCAGCCGATCTTCACCTGAGATATACCACCTGCTCTTTAGAAAGAACTTTGCTATCAAAGTCTGTTCTTCAATACAGATTATTTGCAGGTTATTTCCAAATAAAAAGGTACTGTACATTATACAAGTCTGAAAGGATTCTGACTTTTTAAAAAAAAGTTAAATTGTCTTGAAAAGTGATATTCATTGAGAACATATAATAGGTCATTTAATAACATGCATTTTTTTTTGTATGTAGGATTTGTACTTTAAAAGACTGCATGTAGTTCCTTTTTTCTGAGGCATGTATGGTTATTTTTAGCTTAATTTAGATTAGTGGGGGAGGGAGCAGATCGAAGGCAAGAGAATCTCTGGCCCAGTTAGACATGAAGGAACTTCACAGTCGATTTATAGAAGTATAACATAGCTGTATTTTACATGCTTAGCACTGACTTGCAATCTTTTAAAATTATCTGGAGTCTGGACTTTAAAACATAAATTGGGTGAAAAGATAAAAACTAACCTGATAGGGATAAGAAACTGTCAAGAGTTAAAGAGTGGGAGGAAGATGTATTTCAACTAGTGATAATAAAAGCTGTCTGATAGATCTTTAGAGGGTGTTGGGGTGTTAGAGCTTCTTTCCTTAAAACTGCTTGCTCTGTTAATAGCTTCCTTACCTAGGCACTTCTTCCTAAACTACTCTAGGAAGACTTTTACATGTTGATTGGGGGAGGGGTAATGCAGTGTGCAGCTGTCATAGACAAGTGATGAATCACTACCCCGTCATTTGGCTGCCTTCCCCATGACATGGGCAGGAGGGGGATAGACCTGCTGGAGGAAACAACAGTTGAGGCTTCAATTTAAAGACAATATGTCTTTCACTGAAGTACTGTCCCCCTCCTCTTTGGGTTAAAAAACAGCATTACGATCCCCTGGAAGATTTCTTTGTTTAGTTAGATTAAGACCTGACATGAACATAGGATAACATAGGTTTCTGTTTGTGTCCCTGGTTTGCAGGTACAAAAATCCCAAGCCAGTTCAGATGTTGCTGTTTCATCCTTTCGCAGGTAAGGGTAAAGCGAAAGTTGCTTCTCTATGGAAAGAAAAGCTTAGAATGAAGTTGTGTTTCTTTACTTCATTGACAAATATGTGAATGAGATTTGCTTGTTAATTTTAAATTGGATAAATGTTTTCAACATTTGGGGAGTACTTCAAATTTTCTGAAATGATTATTTTTAAAAAGACTTGGCTGAATTGAAAATTTATTCTGTTGGTTAGAATTTTTTCATTACAGTGACACAAAGGGTCTTGTATATAAATTGGAAAATGAGTGCATTTTTAAATATAAATTTTATAACAGAGCACCATTATCAAAAGAATTTATCACATGAAAGTAATATCACTGTTGAAAGCTAAATACATCACAATTAATTTTTTAAAATATGGTTGACACCTCTATTGGTTTGACAGAATATGAGGTAAGTCTAGAAAGATTCAGTTCAGTTGCACTATTGAACCTTAGCTACCTGTAAGTATCTTTCCAGATAGTATTTTACCAGAAAGAACTCAAACAAAATTGAAAACCCAAAACCAGTAAGTTTATTAGCATTTTGGAAAGTTTAGAGATGATACCAATAATGTCTTCATATTGAAAAAAATGAATAAAATCTTCTAAAACTATTCTTTTACTGAAAAACCATTTTTATTCCAGAGTACGTATTTTGAGTATTGCCTCTACTTATCTTCTACATATTATACTTAATCTTTTTTTAAAAAAAGCAAATGGAAATTTATTATAAAAACTGTTATGTGTAAGAATGTTAGCATGTTACTGAAGCATAGTTAAAAGAGAAAACATTGGCAATTTTGTACTTAGCTCAGTTTTATTTTATTTAAGTGACAGTTCAAGTACCGCAAAGTGCTATGCTATATTAATGCTAGAAACCATTCATTGTGTATTGGTCTTATCCCTTTTCAGTGGGGCACACTTTATGTAATCCACAAAGCAAACACGAGAACAGACATAATAATGTTTTAATGCTGCATTTGTTTCAATGGAAACAGAGGAACAATTAAGTAGTTTGCTAGAGTAAACACATACATCAGGAATATCTCATTCCTTGTCAGTAGACTGTAGGTTCATCTATGGCTTCAAGTGTTTTCTTTGGTTTAGAGGCCCATTAAATTGTAATTGGGTGGTAAATTATATGCAAGCAAGCAGTGTTAACGTACTGCTTTGGGTACTCACTTTTTAATGTACTATTATTGCCTCTGACACATAATTTATAAAAATATATCGATATAAGTGGCAAGGTGCTTTTGATATGTTAAAGTTCTCATATTAAGTGTTAATGCATTGTGTATGGGAAGGTGCAAAACTCCTTACCTGGGAATAAGATCCACAGGACTTTGTTTTTCCAAACCTATAAATATGTATAGATCTGCACTTATAGAAACAATTATATATTTGAGTTAGAAAAATTAATTGCAGACACAACATGTGAGAAGTCCTAAACTGTTTTTCTACAGTTAGATTTAAATTATTTCTTTCTTTAGGTCTATGGAAATGCAGGATTTAGCCAGCCCGCATAGCCGTCTGAGTGCTGGCAGTGAGTCTCCTAATGGTCCAAAACTTGATAATTCTCACCTAAATAATAATTCCATGACACCCAATGGCACAGAAGGTGAGTTCCTGATTGTGTATGTTGCCTGTAAAACTACAGTATATAGTTACAAACTTAATATGTAATTTTATATTAGGCCTTACCCATTAAATTTGGGCTTTACTATTTGATTGAAAGTGGAGGTCATATGCTGGAATGTTTCTCCAATCTTCTGTATAAAGGCTAAATATGTTAGGGACCACTAACCTTTTCACCTAGCTGTTTGTTTGTTTGTTTGTTGATTTTAAGCAGCAGCTCTGTTTTGGCATCTGAAAGTTACTATCATGACTTACAAGTTTAGCACCTCTGGAAACCAGACTTCTCTAGTAGATATGCAGGAACGTTTAACTAGATAAATTCTGCTACTGTGTATGTTTTTTAATGAATATAATGTGGTGCTATAGACCAATTATAACTAGTCAGTAGTTTATTTATAAATGTTTTGAAGCTTGCTGTTGGTAACTTTTCAGGATTTTTTTTATCCTGCATGTTCATTTACATTGTTAATTCACCGCTAAATGAAATATTGTGATATATAAGGAAAGTGATTAATACGGATTACTCTGTTGCTCTCTCCAAATTAGGTATATATCTCAAAAAGATAATTTAGTGTGAAAATGTGCAAGAGTTGCAATTTAATTGTTTAGAATGCATAAGCACATGATGCTATTGGAGATGCAAATATAAAGGGCCTTCTAGCCTTCAGAAATGCATTGAATTAAGGATCTTAGCATGGCAATATTGTTAGGGAAGCTACACATATGCTGTGTAGAACAAATTAACAATTTCCTCTGAAATATTTGAAAAAGGTGATATGACAGTTTAACCTTTTTTATAAGAAAGCTTTATATATTAAAAAACATTTTGTTACACTCATTCATGTACTGCATTCCTTTAAGAGAGAGATATCCATCCATTGACCACTATCATACCCATTATCCCGACCACCGTTGCTCTCAAGTTTAATTATAGATTACTTGGACCAGATATGTGGGTATCAGATTATTTTTCATTTGTACTTTTTAATCTATTATTCCTTTTGAATTTAATAGCGCTACTTGTGTACTCTCCGTCAGATATAAACTGTATGTGTATGTGTGTGTGTGTGTGTGTGTGTGTGTGTGTATTTAGACAGTGCTTCTTAGTATCTGTTTGGAACTACAATTCCATGGATTCTTATTGGGAATAAGGACCTCTAAATGTGGGGGTGGAAGTACAAAAGACCAGAGTTTGGATCAAGATGTCATAACAGACATTTTGTAATTTTTG